TTCGGAAACTAACGGAAAAATAGTTGATAGTGTTGAGTGGTGTAATGGAACCCAGAGCAAAATATTAGGAAAAACGATGTTTGAATGATTTAAAATGAAAAGTGGCACTTGATATGGCCTTTGGTAACCTAAGGATGCCTAAGAAAATGAGAAAGAAAATTTAGAAAAATAAATTGCAAATTAACACTAATAGGGCCGAACCTACCTAGGGTGGGGGAGGATTTTTGATGTTTTCGTATTTTTATAGATTTGTCGTGTATTGATGATTCGTACATGGTTGTTGTAGGTTGTCGTACGTAGATTTGAACCCCGAACCGTGAGCTCAGTGGGTTGCCCTTGGTCCTGGACCAAGTGGGATTGAGGTAAGAATTTGAAACCATGCTTGAAGAGTTGATAACTTGCATGTGTTGGTATGAATTGTAAGTAATTGGGAATGTCCTCTGTGTAGGCATTTCTATTGTGTAACGATCTCGGGGAATATATTACCTTGGAGCTAATTGGAGAGGATTATACATGTAACCTCTTGGTACTGGCGCTTGATCCCCTTGTGTGTCCCACCATGCCCGTTGAGGGTGATGGTAGGAAGTGTATGTAAGTAATGTAGAATAACATGCTCATGCATTTATTATGTATCCTAGTGGTACATTGGATGTACCGAGTCTCTGGCCAGTAGACAGTTTGCCCTCAGGCGTTACGGACTTCCACTGGATAGGTCTCCGAGAGGGAGTTCTAGTTGACCTAGGGTCGTGGTGTGTGATTCAGATAGAAGCACACTAGGAAGTCTCGGGTGTATATGGATGGAGGGGTGCCTTGGTTTGATGTTCTGGGAACACGACTTGGATGAGACCCGTTGGCTTATATGCCGAGCCAATAGGCTGGATGTTGCGTGGTATTGGCATCGACCATTTCAGCTTCGTCGTATTTTGTATCCCCATGTTCCCCTGTTTCTCTAAATCCCTTGCTTTATCCCCTTTTCAAGATGTTATTTTATGTTATTTATATGCATCGAAGTGAGCCATTGGGCGGAATATTCTCCGGAACCTCTGGGTTACTGAGATATATTCGTATATCTCACCCCGTCTCGGGGGCTTTATTTCAGGAGGTAGCAGTGGTGCAGGAGCGATGGGCAAGAAGCCCATGAGATGATTAGCTGGAGGATTATGGATTTTGTATTTTGGTGGCCATTGGGCCTAGGCTAGACTTAGGGCATGAACATTGCATATATGTATTTAGGAGGAGATTCATTGTCATATTTGTTCATGTCATTTTGCTTTAGTCTAGTTATATATGTCATTTTGAGGTTCATCCATCATGTTTTAATTAAAGATTTTAAGTTGTAAAGTGTAGTATTTCATTTGGAAGTTGTAATTTGTACATGAATACTTGATGTAATATGAAGCATGTAATATGATGAAATGGCAATAGGCCTATTTTAGGATTATGATTATGTGTATGATTAGAAAATGCATGCAAATGGACATTGGTGATTGAAATGTGTTAAGTGTAATAAAGTAAGCAATATGGTATGAATTGAGTAATTTGATATAAACTGTGAAAGGTTGTAAGAGCCCCAAGGCATTTCTGGTCTTTGTGTGTACCACCCTATGATTATTAGGTACAATTTGAGGTCTTAGATCACTTTTCAAATTTGGGAATTTTTGTAAAACCAAAGGAAACTCTGGCGAATTTTCTAGAAATTGGCATAATTTAGGCGAACTTCGGGAGAGCATATCTCCCTCTACAAAGGTTCGATAGGGACGTGCCATATTCCGTTTTGAAGCTTGAGATGTCCTCTATCTCGTGTTAAAATTTGAGAAAATTATGGGTTGAGTGTCGGCCTGTAGGAGGCAGGGAACTCGGACTGTACAGTGAGCTACTGCACATTGGGCAGTTCTGGACCGACTTTGAGAAATTTATTCTCGCTTTGTTTCTTGGTCAAATTAGGTGTATGATAGATCAAATTGAAGCTTGAGGTGTATAGTTTGTTCTATAAGAAATTTAGAGCAATTGTATGAGTGGATTTTCTGCAGTAACTGTTTTAGTGAAGGATGTTTGGAGCTGTTTTGGGGTTGGCTGGCGACTTTGCTTGTCCAACTTCAAACGGCGAAATCCGGAGCAAACGAGCTGGAAATAACTCGTGTGATAGCTTCCTAGAAAGATAATTGAGTGTAGGATAACATATCAAAATATGGGAGGCTTGTAGAATGCGGTTTGTCCGCAGAAAAATAAAGAGTGAACCATGTTCGGATAGGTAGAAAACGTAAAAGTGAGATTCTGGCTAAGTGGGTTTATGGGAACCCCTTAGTGACTTGAGAGTTGTAAAATAAGTTATAAAAGTAGTTTAAATAATTATTCTGCAAAGAGTTTACAGTTACGGTCACAACTTTTATTTATTACGCTTTTTATTGTTTTAAACGGTCGTGTAATAAACGAAAAAAGTTTACTCGCATTTTTATAAATGAACTGCTGTGATTGTAACTGCGCTTAATATCATAATTAATGTTAACAATACCGGTGTACAACGGGCTGTTACAAAAAACCATGTTGACGTGGCATCATTAAGTGTATCAACTTTGAGTACGTGGCAACCACATTATCACTCTGATTCTTCATAGCTTACTTGCACCACAAGAAAGCCAACAACCTCACTTTTCCAAAATAGCCTATAATGTAATCATTCCATAATTACAAACCGAATCACACAAGATTCATCAACCAATGGCTATCAATCAATTTACGCACATAATCAAGTAAGTTATTAACTTACCTATATCCTTGTGGTTAAGGACTAAAGGCTTTCCAAGATGAAACTCCACAAGTCAATCATCTATGATTGGATCCGAGGGTGGCAACCTACAATGATCATACAAATAATAACCAACAATAACTTGTTAAACAAGTTAAAACAAACACAAAACAATGGCCTACATAAAACCCGAATTTTTTACCATTAGTCCCAAAATGCCTCATCTTTGTGTTTAACTCCAAACCAATCAATCTCGTTGCTTGATTAGCATCCCACACACCATGGTACACCATAATTGCACTCCATTATAATTAATAATAATTTCCACCCTAATTATGCCACAATGGCCGAGGGATGCACCAAAGGAGGTCAAGGGAGATTTTTCAATTTTGACAACTTTTAATCATCATTCAAGCTCACCAACCAATCTACTAACACCCCCACACACCATCCACCAAGCCACAACACAATTTTGCAATATTTTCCTCAATTAAAGGCCTATGGCCGAGGGATGCACAATCAAGGGACCAAAGGATTTTTCAACAAATTATCATGCATTACACTCTCATTCAACCTCATTACTAATGATTCAAACAACCACCAATTCAATTACACAATTATTCAATAACTTGTTTCACAAGTAATCCATGTTCATCTCACAAAATTTGGCCTAAGCTACAAATCCTATGACCTTAAAATTTTATTTGATTTTCATCAACAAAACACCAACACAACTAATGAATCCCAAAGCCATATGACCATTCAATGCCTCCAACTACCATAACCTATAAACACTATTCATATGTTCATCAATTTTATGAAATAATGTCTAATTTTACCATTTCATAGGTTAGAGTTACGTATTTGTCAAATTATCATTTTACCCTTCATATGTATTTTGACCTAAAATTCAGAATTTTCACTAAATAAACCCTCTAACCCATATTTAATTATTAAAAATTTATTTCAAATATGTGAAGTGTTATAGATATCATTTAATTAAATTAAAAGTACTTTAAACCTATGAAATTAGTCACACAATTTAATTAGACCAACTAATTCAAGTTTTGACCTAGTTTTGATCAATTACTAAACTAATCTTAATGACATCTATGTCCTTAAATATATTCCATAATTATACCTAGGTCCTATTAGACTTGTCTAGCATGAACTGTATTTTTCATTTACTTATCATGTCAATTACATGATCTATGGGTTTCAACGAAGAAGAGTTGAGGACCAACTTCGACAAGTAGCGCAACATCAAAAAGAGTCAAAAGTATCACACGAACGAACTAAGTGAGTTGAAGTACGTAAATGGAAACAAAACATGTACTTAGATCTTGAGCCTTACTTAAAATAAAAAAATATTTTAAAATCTCCAAATACGTACTTAAAATGTAAAATACTTTTTTTTGAAAAAATAATCCGCTAACAAATCAATGGCTTCTATTTAGTTTTTTTTATTATTACGCTTTTATGATGCTATGATATTTTTAGGTATTTTTTGAAGGAGGTAAACAAAAGCCATCTAGTTATCTATAAAGTATGGTTATTATTTATTTATTTTTTCTTTTTATATGTCTATCTCACTTTACCATTAATAATTTTTTTCTTCAATAAATTGTTTTTTTGGTAATAATAAATTGTTTTCTTTACTTTGATGTACTCGATTCCCATAAACATACTTTTATAGGAGTGCATCTTTTTGTTAAAAAAGAAATGACATAATTATGTGAAATTATAATCATATAAAAATGGATTAATTATTATAAAAAAGAAAAAAATGTTTACTAAAAAAAGAAAAATATTAAAATAAATAATTATAAAATTATTATCATTAATTTTTTTTATATGATTATAATTTTTATCATAATTTTTTTGTATTATTATAATTTTTTTACGTGATGATGTCATATATATATTATATTTTAAAGATTAGAGGATCCCTTTTCATTTTCACCATATATCCTTGTGGGTTGGATGGAATCACACGATTCACACCCTCCTCTCCCTTTTCTCAGTACAAAAACCAAAAAAGTGTTTCTTTTAATTTTAGATTTTATTAATTTCATATTAAAGATAATAATTATCTCATGTGTAGAGATAATGTTGTAAAGATAAATTTATGAATTTAACTGTCTGAAAAAAAAAAAAAAACAATTACCTAAAAAAATATGTAGTAGAAAAAACTTATGTATTATAATATAAGAATAGTTTTTTCCATTAATTTTTGTGGTTTTGATTTCACATGCTTCTTCCATTTCAGTCACAAAACAAAACCCTACTGTTCCTACTGTCACACACACACAGACGCTCTCTCTCCCTTCATTGTTTATTACTGATCCAATCTCACCACCACCAAGAAGTAGAAGATGCAATACAAGAACCTTGGTCGATCGGGTCTGAAGGTGAGTCAACTCTCATACGGAGCATGGGTTAGCTTCGGTAACCAACTAGACGTTAAGGAAGCCAAGTCCCTCCTCCAGTGCTGTCGCGACCACGGCGTCAACTTCTTCGACAACGCCGAGGTTTACGCCAACGGCCGCGCCGAGGAGATCATGGGTCAAGCCATCCGCGAACTCGGTTGGAAGCGATCCGACATCGTCGTTTCCACCAAGATCTTCTGGGGTGGCCAAGGCCCAAACGACAAGGGTCTCTCTCGTAAGCACATCGTTGAAGGTACCAAAGCTTCCCTCAAGAGACTCGATATGGAATACGTTGACGTCATCTATTGTCACCGCCCTGATTCCTCAACCCCCATTGAGGAAACTGTGAGAGCCATGAACCATGTCATTGATAAGGGTTGGGCCTTCTATTGGGGCACCAGTGAATGGTCGGCCCAACAGATCACTGAGGCTTGGGCCGTTGCTGATAGGTTGGATTTGATTGGGCCTGTTGTGGAACAACCTGAGTATAATCTCTTGTCCAGGCATAAGGTCGTGTGGTGTTACAATTCATTCATTAATCATGTGTGCTTTGGTTATTGTTGTTTGTTTTTTGACTTGTTTGCTCTATAGGTTGAGTCTGAGTTCTTACCACTTTACACCAACTATGGGTTGGGTCTCACCACTTGGAGCCCTCTTGCTTCTGGAGTCCTCACTGGAAAATACAAGAAAGGAGTTATACCCCCAGATAGCCGCTTTGCATTGGAAAACTACAAAGTAATTATTATAATTATGACCTTTTTATCAATTGTTATGTTCATCTATGCTTGCTTGAATAAAATGATAACTTAGGGCTTGTTTGGTATGATGTATAAGCTTATAATATCTGTTATGATATTTTTAGTTGTTTGATGTAACCATCGTATAATATAAGCTTATACAGCAGTTTAATACATTAAAATGATGTACAACTTATTAGGAAGCTTATACAGCAGTTTAATACATTAAAATGATGTATAACTTATTAGGAGTTGATGTATTAACATTGCTGACCAATGCAATTCTCAAGAATTAATATATTATTTCAATATTAATATATTAAAATAAAAATTAATTTTTTAATATATTAATTTTTAAAATATTGGAGATTTTTATTTTTATAAAAATTAATATATTTTTTTGGACACATTGATAAATAAATTTTTATAAAAGTTAATATCATATAACATATTTGGAATAATTATATAAATTCTTTATTATTTTTGTTAAAAATATCTTTTTATCCTATTTAGTATTTTACAGTGCGTTACCAAACATTAGATGATATTATTTTATACAATACATTTTCTTATACAATACCATATCAAACGCTGAATAGTATTAAAATTTAATCAGGTTTTATACAATCAGGCCATATACTATCAAGTCTTATACTATCAGGCCTTATTAATGAGTGAGATCATGTCGGAAATAAATCCTCTCATGTCACATGATCTAATGTATTTTAACTAAATCAATAGTGGCACAAGACAGAGAGAGAAAAAGTATTAGGATAGAGAGTGGGGACAAGATAGCCATTGACTTGTCTATGGATGACTAAGATCATGTTAAATGAGACATGAGAGGATCCATTTCCATATAGTTAACAGCCTTACCTACCTGCACAACGCAGGTATTCTATTGACCAACTAAAAGCATTGTAGTGTGCACCCTTCTGAATTGAGGTGTTTGCAACGACTCATTGCATTTGATTTATTAATGGTTGTTTGTTTTATGTTCGAAGTTCAGTTAAGATATTTCTTGTCACTTGTGATAATATGTATTGAATGATGGATGGGATTATTCTGCCGCCTTTGTTTAGGTTACTAAGCAAATATGTATTTCTTTTTTCCCCCCATTTCTCATGTCTTGTAGAATCTGGCAACACGATCACTGGTTGATGATGTGCTCCGAAAGGTTGATGGTCTAAAGCCAATAGCAGATGAACTGAGTGTGCCGTTATCTCAACTTGCAATTGCATGGTGTGCTGCTAATCCTAATGTTTCGTCAGTTATCTGTGGTGCTACAAAGGAGTCTCAGGTTAGTTCATGCATGTTCAAACTTCATTTAGGTATTGAAAACATTCATTGTGTATTTATGTCATATATTATGATAATGATACTTTCTGCATTAAGCAACAAATACTTATTCTAGCTGGAGATTGTTTGGTAAATTATATCAGGTATTGACATTATTGATTTCAATTTGGTTATATAATTATATTAGGATCTGATGTGTATATGATGTGAACCCACTGTGGAAAGTATACAAGAGAGATAAAAATAGGAGATACTGGGCTTCAAATGCACAGATTAGCCCAAGGGAGGGTATGGACCTGAGTGATACTGCTGCTATGGGTTTTGGCACATGTAATGTGATTAGCTCAAGTGAGTGTGTGACCAAGTTACCCTCTAACAGAATGCAGGCAAGGAATGGGTAGTTGGTTACGGGAAAGAGGTTAAGAGGAGTGGTGGGGTGCTTGAGTAAGGCATCTGGAATATTGTTGGATTGGAACCTTGGGAGAGAGTGAGGCCTCTCCAACTGTCTCACAATTATCTTTTACATTTTCTGCACTTGTTATTTCCCTTAAGTGTCCTGTTAAATTGTCTCCGTTTGTATTTTCTTTGGATGAAGAAATGGAATACTTAATGTTCTTGCTTAATTTCGCTGTTGTTCTTGGTTAAATCTGTATTTGGTTGTTTGGGTTGTATCAGTATAACTCAATTGATTCACATTAGTTAGCGATGCCATTTTTATTCTAGGGATTTTTTCTATTAGATTTACCATTAAGAGAGTAATTGTTTTAAATCAATGAGTTATTTCCTTTTCTATGGATTAAATTAAGGCTTTTAATTTTCAGAACTATATTTCAATAGCATTGTGGGAAACTGTTTGTTAAGATCATCCACTTCTAACGTCAGTGCCTATGAGCCAGGGCGATTGATAATTTTTCCTTATTTTACTTTTTTCATTCTATCATCTTTGTTTGCCCTTTCTTTAATATTGTTGTCCTTGATTTATGAGACTAAACGATAAATGCCTGCTCTTTTTTTAATATGTGTGGTATTAGTGTGGAGAGGGTTTCACATCATTACTAAAAGCATGGCTTTTGGGGATGTGCACTATTCTGTTTTCCCAATGGTGTGTGAAGACTTTTTTATTAGAAGTGAATGAAGCTAAAATAAGACTGAGAGGTTAAAGTTTTTAACATTGGTTATTAGACGTCCCACTTTTGGTCATAAGGAATTAATGTCATTCCAGACCCCAATATACTGGTTTGCTTTTGCAGTTGATGCTTAAACGGTATAATGCTCTGTTTTTCCCTACAAAATGTTGCATATCTTCCAAATGACATCAGAATAAAATTTGGTTGTTATACTTTTTTGACAGTTGACTGGGAGTGGAAGTAGAACTATATACAAAGGGTTGATCCAGAGTTTATGATTACAATAATTCTGGTGAAATTTAATAATGAATAGGGTCAATTTGTGACTGAATCATAAGATCTCTCTGTATTATAGCAGTCTTCAATTATCAAGTGGGAAATCCCCATCCAAGGCACTTTACAAAAATGAACCAAGAGTTTTCATTAAAATTGTGAAACTAATGCAACCATGCTTTTAAAACTGCTTATTTTGCTTATTTGGAAGCAACACTTCCGTTGTTTGATCATTTAGGAAACCAAGTGTTAATTAGTCCCAATTTCAGCAAAATATCATGATAACCATTTGAATTATTTAAGGGTAAATACTGATTCAATAATTGAATTTTGTGGCCATTTGTCCAAATTATTGTGATAATGTCAGATTGTCTATGGCTTTGAATTTTCTTCTCTTTTTGAAAAGAGAGTATTATTGTAGAGTAAATGTATTGCACCCTGTTACATTTGTGCATAGGGTTATTTCTGTAGATAACTAAATAGCTTAGTTACGTTTAGTTCAGTGAACTGATTACGGTTACAACAGAATAGGCTGACGTGTCTCTTGTATCTAACTCTAAAGAGCATTCATGTACTGTTTCTAATCAAATATCAAAGATATGAACTATTCAGTTTCTCTCTATTCTTTCTCTCTCCCTCTCTCTCTCGTCTTCCTCTGATTTCTTTAATGGTATCAGAGCTCTCTCTGAGGGCCTGATACAGATCGTCTCTTGCTATGTCTTTCGCTGCACAATCACCATCTCCGTCTCCTTCTGTAAGCGGAAATGCAACAACAGATAATCGCTCGTCTTCTCATCGTTGTTCAACCATCAAGTCTCTGTTAAACTAACATAGAGCAATTTTCTTCACTAGAATCAGGTTGTAGAGCCTGTAATCACCTCTCACCAACTCCAACACTTCCTTGTTAACCCTTAAATATTGCTTCAGTATGAATCGGAGCAAGCTCGCGTTGATGGAGTCATTAATCATTTGTACACTGAATGGCTGCGTCAAGATGAAATGTTTCTCTCGTGGATACTTTCCACTATTTCAAAAGAAATCTTGAACGAAATTCTCGATGTTCATAATGCGTATGAGGCTTGGGAGCAGATCCATAAGTTCTTCCAAGGAATGATGAAATCTAAAGCTCATCAGCTCATATCTGAACTTCGCACCATCAAGAAAGGTGGAAGATTTGTTGCTGAGTACCTCAGACGTGTTAAATCTCCCCGTGATGAGCTAAAAGCGATCAAAAGTCCTATTTCAGTTGAAGAACAAATTGAGTTAGCTGAATTTAATGCCTTCGTCACCTCTGTTGGAGCACGTGAAAATCCGTATTCGCTCAATGATTTGAGAGTTGAACTAATGTCTTATGAAATGATGCTTGCAAGACAAAATGAAACTCTTCTCTCAGATTCAATGACTTTAAATGTTGTAAGAAGATCTCCAATGATCAAAAGGAAGCATCTGGATCTGAATCAACATCTGTCAGACCTCCTCTTAATGCTCATTTGTATTTGATGGAACAGACACAATTCCTCAACGAAAAGGGTTTTGTTCACGCGCCACCTATGTCATCTTGCCACCTCAAAGCTTCCGTTCCATAGTGATTTAGCGATTCGAGGGACAGAACTTCGAGCCTTATCTCCTCCTTAAGTCCACCAATGAATAAACCTATATATTGTTCGTCTGACATTGGAGGAATCTGGGCAGACAACATTTCGAAAGCCTCCACATATTCATCCGCAGTTCTGTCTTGCAGCAGTCCCTTCAAGTGAGCATATGGGTTGCCAAAATGGCCTTCCCCATATCAATCGAAGAGGGCATGTTTAAAGCTCTCCCAGTCCAACTTTGTGTTGGATTCCTTGAGCACCTTGAACCAATGCCATGAGGAACCCTCTATGCAAATTTGGGCGTACTGGATGCCATGAGGAACCCTGGACAGCAAAATAAGCTTTGGCTTTAGCAAACCATCCGACGGGATCAATTCTGGAAAACACTGGAAGTTCTATGTAACAGTCAAAATAGATGAACAACAAATTTTACTGAAATAGTTCTATTATGATATTAATCAATTGTTCTCAACACTGTTACGTACATCTCTTTCTATATTAAACAAAGAAAATTCAGCACTACAATAAAGATAAAAACAAAGGATAATCCAGAAGAATTATAGAGCCTCTGGTCTCTCCCAAATCACCAAGAATGGTGCCCAAAGTTACAAGTCCCCAAAGTGCCTCCATACTGCTGCCTCCCTTGCGTATATCATACCTCCAATGGTTATGCCTCCAATCTCTCTCCACTAATCGAATATAAGTCCTCACCTGCTGACTCAACAACTTCACATAACAGAATGGACCCATTTAATTCCCTGTGGCCCTTCCTACGGTAAATCTTCATTTTAGGGGGGTCCCTATCAATACGTCCCCCCAAAAGACACACCTTGTCCTCAAGGTGGAGCTCTGGAAACAGTTGATTAATGATAAATGACTCCTCCTATGTACTCTCAAATTCTGGTAATTTGGCCCATTTAATAAGTACTTCAACAGTACCGTGCAAAGATTGACGCCACTGCAATAAAGCTTCCAGCCAAACCTGCAATTCCCAATCATCCTGTAGCATGGGTGGTAAACGCTGAGATTGTTGTGGAGCTGTGACTGATTTTTTTGACGACGACACATGAAACACAGGATGAATGGTACAATAATCCGGTAATTTCAAACGGTAAGCAGCTGCCCTAATTCTCTCAATAGGATACAGACCATAATATCGCGGACTCAATTTTTCATTAAACCTTCGAGACAAAGACTTGAGGCGATACGGTTGCAATTTAAGGAAAACCAAATCACCAACCTCAAATTGCACATCGCGCCTATGCTTATTAGCTTGTTGTTTCATCCTATTTTGGGCCTTTCCGAGCTGCTCCTTTAAATCTGTCAGAATTACATCACGGTCTTGCATCAACCGGTCTACCTTGTCTACTCTAGACATGCCATCAGCATGAAATAGGGTGGGAGGGTCACAACCATAAAGAACTTTAAAAGGAGTCATACCTGACGACTCCTTATAAGTGTGGCGTTATACCAAAATTCCGCCCAATTTAACCACTTATGCCACTGTTTTGGTTTCGGACTGCAGAAACAACGAAGATACGTTTCTAAACATTTATTAACAATCTCAGTCTGACCATTCGATTGAGGGTAGTATACGGTATTGAATTTGAGGAGAGTCCCTGACTGTCGGAAAAATGCAGCCCAAAAATGACTTAAAAATATGCGGTCACGATTTGAAACAATAGATTGCGGGAATCCATGTAATTTTACCACATTCGCAACAAACAGACCCACTACATCTTGAGCCGAGTAAGGATGACAAAGAGGTATAAAATGGGCATATTTAGATAACCTATCCACTACTACAAAAATAGTATCATACCCTCCAGCTTTTGGTAGACCTCCAACAAAATAGAAATATCTGACCAAACTTGAGATGGAATAGGCAATGGTTGTAATAACCCAGCTGGGGACAGAGCCACAGACTTACTCTGTTGATAGACCTCACATCCAGCAACAAACTCCTTAATTGATCTCCTCATTCCTTGCCAATATACTAATTGAGCCAG